CATTAATCACCATACGAAACTATTCCCAGACTCGAAATCCCAAACAGACCTCGATAACACCAAAATCAACTCCAAACCAAACTTAAAGAACTTGAAAAACCTTCAATGCGCTAACATTGAATATTAAGCGCTGAAACGCTCCCGGGTCATCCGAAACTCGATTCGAACATACGCCCAAGTCCAATATAATCATACGAACCTATTGGGACCGTCAAATTCCGATTTCGAGGTCATTTACTCAAAACGTTAACTCAAGTCAAACATAACCATTTTAAGCCAATATTAAGCAACTAAGTGTTCCGATTTCAACCCGAACCCTTCCAAACCTGAACTAACCATCCCCACAATTCATAAAATAGTAAAAGCACATACTGGGAGTCTTAATTAGGGGAACGAATATTTAGAAGGCAAAATAACTGGTCGGATCGTTACACATATATAGAGGTAATGCATGATTACTTGTCTCACATAATTATATATTAATATTTTATAAAACACAATTAGACATGTAGACATGCTTAGAAGACATAAGTGTTGGAGAAATAAGTTTATGTAATGGTTCAGCTCAACATACCTTGGATGTTCTTTTAGCTAACCATAACTCCTTGTGTTCCAAATGACTCAACGAGAGTCCATATACACAATATAAATCATTCAAGTGACGTCTAACTTAGAAGTTTATAGTTTGGATCACTCGGGCATTTTATCAAGCACCTAGTGTGCACTAACGGCACCAACCTTAAAAAATGGTGATTCTAAGCCTATCAATTATCTCTCATATCAACCAGCCAATTATTAATGTTGTTGGGATTATTTTTAACCTTCATTAATACTCATTCAACCAACAAACAATCTCGACTCATTCATTACTACCAATCATGATTCATCATCCTCCAAAATCAACTCATCAATGGTATATTAGGACCATTATTTTAAAAGGCGTTTTCGGGGCGAGCCCCGGGGCGAAGATGTGGGGCGAAAGTCTCAAGAGGCGTACGCTCGGACGTTTGAGGCATGTGTTTTTTAGTGAGAAGTAAGCCCCAGAGACTTTTTCAAATTAAAACAAAATTTGTTGAATAAGTTCTTCATATAATACCCAAATTCTCAAAAGTCAATTTGGTAATTACTCAAAAGGTTTAAAAAGTAACTCAAAAGTATTAAATGTAAAAGTCAAAACCTTTTTATTGATTGAAACCCTAATTCAAGGTCTTTTTCAATTCTTTATCTTGTCCGCTAGTCTGCTAATATCTCCCAAAAGCAACGAATATTTACTTTTTTTTTACAAATACAAAGAGAACTTCATTCTCCTTCATAGAATGCAAGTTCAAAGTTCAAATTGCAGGTTAATCATCATTTTTCCCTCCATTTAGAAAACTTTATTATTTTAGACTCAAGTTACTTGTACTTGTAAATAGCGTATAATATATTATTTTGACTAGTTTTTTGTGGGAATAAAGTGTGTGTGCGCGCACACACACACACACACACANATATGCCCCGTGCCCCGGGGCTTACACCTCGCTGAGACATATGTAAGACGCCTCGCCTTATGCCCACACCTTTTAAAATACTGATTAGGACTTTCAATATATTCTTACCTTGTCACTTTTACTACTGAATAATAACATTTATATACTTATTTATGTACAACAGATAAGTTAGAAGTGATAAGAAAATTAGAAATTATCTTTAACGACCTGGCCGGTCGTTTTAAGTATATTAGCCCCGATCCTCTATTTACTACTTCTCCCATATCTATTTCTGCTATTGTGACTTGCCGGGAGGTTTCGTTTAGGTTTTTGGAGTGTTTTGGGACACTTAATCCCTAAATGGAGGTTTAAGTCTCAGAATTTTGACCGTAGTTGGAAGTGTATGAAGACGACTCCGGAATGGAGTTCCGTCGGTTCCGTTAGCTCCGTTGGGTGATTTTGGACTTAGGAGCATGTCCGGACTGTGAATTTGAGGTCTGTAGCTAATTTATGCTTGAAATCGTGAAAGTCGATTTTTTGAAAAGTTTTACCAGGGGGTTAATTTTTTGATATCTTGGTCGGATTTCGATTCCGGAAGTTGTACTAGGTCCGTAATGTGGAATATTACATGTGTGCAAAATTTGAGGTCAATCAGATGTGGTTTGGTAGGTTTCGGCATTATTTGTGGAATTTGAAAGTTTAGAAGTTTTTTAGGCTTGAATCTGGGTGTAATTGGTGTTTTGATGTTGTTTTGAGTGATTCGAATGCTCGACTAAGTTTGTATGATATTTTGGGATGTGTTGATATATTTGGTTGAGGTCCCAGGGGTCTTGGCTTGATAGCTGAAGTCTGGTTGCAACAGGTTCTTGTTTCCTTGTACGCGATCGCAGGGATTCATTCACGATCACGTATGCTTATTTAGGGCAGAGGTGAGTTTTTTCTATGCGATCGCGTATGGGTGCGAAGTTGTGCTTCACGAACGCGTGGCTAAGGTTGCATTGGTGTAGAAGGATTTGAGCAGGAGGGGAGGCGTGGTCAATCCTCTACGCGATCGCGTGAGGTAAGATGCGATCGCGTCGGTATGAGAGGCAGTGATCCGCGATCGCGTGGGTGATTCCGCGATCGCGTAGGGTAAAAATGTGGGGCAACATAGTTGTGCTTCGCCATTGCAAGGAATGTTCCGCGATCGCGATAAAGGATATCTGGGCAGGCATTATTAATTTCAAAAATGAAGGTTTGAACCCATTTCATATATTTTGAGCTAGAGAACACGGAATTAGGTGATTCTTGAAGGGATTTTCATGGAGTTGATTGGGGTAAGTGATTCTTATTTGGTTTTGGTTAAATCCCATGATTTCATCTTTAATTTTATTATCTAATTTGTGATTTAGGGTAAGAAATTGGGAAAAAAGAGGAAGAACTCTTGAGTTGGGATTTTGAGGTTTTGAAGGGGATTTTGTTATCGAATTTGAGTAAATTTGGTATGGTTAGACTCATAAGTGAATGGGCTTTTGGGTTCGAGATGTGGGCCCGGGAGCCAAGTTCGGGCCAATTTCAGATTTTTGGCTATAATTTAGTACTTTCTTGTGGAATTGATCCCTTTAGCCTATATTGATTATATTGTTCTACTTGTGGCTAGATTCGGGACGTTTGGAGACCGATTTGAGAAGCAAAGGCATTTTGTAGTAGAGATTGGCTCGGTTTGAGGTAAGCAACAATCTTTAAATCTGGTTTTGAGGGTATGAAACCCTGAGAATTTCATAATGTGAATATTTGGGGGAGACTCACATGCTAGGTGACGGGTGTGCGAGCATACACCGTGAGGGATCGTGACTTGGTCCATCCCATGAGACTGTAAAGATGGGAGAAATTGATTGTCTTTCATGTTTGAAACCATGCTTAGGCCATATGATATCACTGTTGGGACCTGCAGTGGTCATATACTTGTTGAATTACTTGCTAATTGATGTCTTGTACTCAGTCATGGTTTCATTTGCGTATCATATCTCAGTCGCTTCTTGATTTTGTTGATACATTATGCTATCTTTGTTTGGGTTGATCTTTGTGATTTTCGAGAGCCCGAGAGACTAAGGAGGTTGATGAATGAGTGGGGCCGAGGGCCTGTCTGTGAGGTACTGATACTATGGCACGTGAGTTGTCCGTGCAACACGTGAGTTGTCCGTACGGTTCCACATATTGTTACAATAGCATGTGAGTTGTCCGTGCGAATTTTAGCGCTTGGGCTGAAAGGAGCACCTCCGGAGTCTGCACACCCCCAGTAAGTACAAGTACCGATTGAGTGTGAGTACTGAGGGCTGAGAGTCGAGCGATTGAGCTGTTGTGACGAGTTGAGTGTCTGTTGCCCTGAGAGGCTGTACCTGTTTTCCATTTGTTGATGCACTTAGTTGCTATCTGTCATTGTTGTGAAATTTCTGAAAGATTCTATATCCAGATTACTTGCACTGTAACTGTATAAACTGATTTGACTTGAACTACCGGATTTGAAAGCATGTTTATTCTTTGTTGAAATTATTGAAAATGAACTGCATTTGTATAGCTCGTCACTACCTTCTCAGTTCTTTATTCATTTCTGTTACTTGCTGAGTTGGTTGTACTCATGCTACACCCTGCACTTCATGTGCAGATCCAAGTGTGTTTAATCACGGATGTCGTTGAGTTCGTGCGCGATCGAGTACCGGAGACTACGAGGTAGTTGCCGGCGTCCGTAGACCTTGTCTCTCCTTCTATGTTTTCTTTCTTTTCAGTATTGACATTCAGACACTGTTTGTATTAGATTGGATATTTAGATGCTCATGATTCAGTGACACCCCGATGTCAGGCTATTTTTTCGCACTTATGTTTTAATTGAGTTTTACCCCCCGTTTTTTTATGAAAAACTTCGGTTATTTTAAATGTCTTAATTCATTTATGTTAAATTTTGAAAGTATTTTTGGAAAGGTCGGCTTGCCTAGTACCACGATAGGCGCCATCACGACGGATTAGATTTTGGGTCGTGACATTATCGTTGAAGACAAGCCCTAGAAAATCTCCTTCTTGATTTCTTGGAAGATATGGAAGCTAACAAATTTTCATGATTGAATCTCGTTAATACTAGTGTAAATCAACTTTAATTAACATAATTTACTACTCCCTTCGTCTCATATTATGCGTCGTGTTTCTCTTTTATACGCTCCTTAAGAAATATTAATTAGGAAAGGGATTAGATTATTCTACTCTTATTTATGTCTTAAGATATAATTTCTATTCATTGAATATTTATTTTATTTATGTGTTATCTCTATCTTCAAGAATAATTATTACTAAGGGTAAAAAAGAAAAAAAATTAATTTTATTTTGAACTTTTAAAATGATAAATAATTCGAGATAACTATGTTTAGTAATCATGACTATTTATATTAGACGGAGGGAGTGATAAATTTTTACCTAATTCAAATAAGAATAGAAAGAGGATAAGGTCAGTAGGACGTAGGTGACTGATGTCGAGCTTAAGGTTGTCTTGTCGGCAATTCCTTAAATCCTACAATTAATATCACTAATTAATACAATATTTACTAGTTTCATAATCCAACAAATTACAAATCACAGTAACTAAAAGCGATCTAAATTGGCGCCTCTTTTACCCAACCCTCTGTCTCTACTCTAAATAGCTCCGATCCAACATTTGAAATTACAGACACCCAAAAGGGAATTGACCCCCCAAAAAAGAAAAACTGTACTTTGCTCGAATATCTCCATGTCTATGCGTAGACGAACTTTGCTCAAAGTCATCGTCCTCGGCGACAGTGGGTACGATTTAAAGTTTTAAACAGTTTTTTTTTTTTTTTTTTTTTTTTTTTTTTTTTTTTTTTTTTTTTTTTTTTTTTTTTTTTCCAATTTACAATTTCTGATCCTAGGGCTAAGTTGAGTAATTTCCTTTTTTGTGAGTATATCTAGTACTATTTCACTAATTAATTAATTTCTCTTTTGGTTTGTTATTCAGGGTTGGTAAAACATCATTGATGAATCGGTATCCTTCTGTACCACTTTCCACAATTATTGGACATCACGTTATTTGTTTCTTTTTTAACTTTCACCTGTCTTTTTCAAAATCTTTCTTGAGATTTTTGACTATCTTAATTTTGCCCTTCCTTAAGCTCAAAGATGTGGTAGCTTACTCTCTTTATTTTCTTTTTTAATTTTATGAAATTGCAAAATACTTCCTGTGTCCCAAAATAAGGATGATATATAAAGTATTACTAAAAATACCAATTTCTATAGTTGAAAAATACAAACAGTTAAAAGCTGCCCAAGCTTTTGTGTAGTGGTAAGAGTGCAACTTGTGATGTGTTGGTTCGGCCACGTCACATGTTTGAATTCTTCCGCAAACAAAAGACATGTTATTTAAGTGGAAAAGGTTAGAGGGCGGACCCATTATACACCGAGTTTTGAACTGTGGCCAATTGGCCCTAAGGATTTTTTCTGTTATCCAAAAAAAGAAAAAGAAAGAGAAAAGTTAAAAGTTGTTTTGACAGTCATTACCCGTTGTCGTCTCATATATTGATGATGTTGTGCTATATAGGTTGTTGTTAGATCACTTTTCCCAGGTACATTATGCCTCTTTATGTGCTTGTATTTGTGGGTCATTAACTGCTTGTATAGATATGTACACAAGAAATTCAGTCAGCAATATAAAGCTACAATTGGAGCTGATTTTGTGACAAAGGAGCTTCAAATTGATGACAGGCTCGTAACTCTTCAAGTGGGTTATTCTGCTTTGTCTTCAATATCTAAGATGAGATCAATAGTTTTGGTGATTATGTATTTAGTGGATGAGCTTATGTTTGTGATTTACGAGTAGATATGGGATACAGCGGGCCAGGAGAGGTTTCAGAGTCTTGGGGTTGCATTTTATAGAGGAGCAGATTGTTGTGTTTTGGTCTATGATGTCAATGTAATGCGATCGTTTGACAACCTTGACAACTGGCATGAAGAGTTTCTCAAACAGGTAACTCATCAGCTTCAGTGGTCTTTCCTTATTACTGTTCTTAGTTAGGATATCTTGAACCTTCTTCATACATGTCTGTAACATTCCACGTTTTTAACAAGTAGTTAATTCCTCTGAGATGCTTGTTGCCCGTAACTCAGGATGAAATATATTTTCTTTTAATCCTACTTTGTAGAATATGGTTGGGATTAGGGACAGCAACTAATGATAGACACATTGATCCATAGTAACATTTGCTATTAGCCTATTACAATGCTAAGTTGGTGATGTGGACCGACTTGTGAGATCTTAAGTCACAATCAGAAGGTCAAAACATATTTCATACCTATTTGTCAGTGAAGCTTCGACCTTACAGCATATTGTAAATGCGTTTTTATTTTGAGTTTAAACTAGTATCTCTTTATTCCATCTAATTTTTATGTCCTCGCTTGATTGAGCATGGAATAACATGTGATATTATCCGAAAAGGAATGAAAGAGCATTTAATACTAAGTCATCATACCTTTAGTTCATCAATCAGGACATGTTCTTGTTAGGCTGCCCTTATTTAGTTGATTGATTATAATCTTCCTTTGAAGTGGCTAATACACAGTGCATTCAAATGGACAAATTCGCAAAGGGTCGCAAGACTAACAGAAGAATTTATATTATGATCATGTTGCATTTGTACTGCCTAAGTTTTGCAGTGAGAAGTTGGGGATAGACAAGATCTAAAAGAAAAATCGACAAAGATGATAGCTGTTTTTTCTACATATTTATAGGTATAAAAGTGGGTAATGAAGACATTTTGCCACCTTTCTATCAAGGTGTTAATTGAGAATAAGAAACTTCTGTTTAAATTCCAACATCTAGGTGAACTGGGAATTATGAACAAGTAAACTTGAATTTAAACAAGCAACCAAATATGGAGCATCTTGGCCAGTGATGTTCTTGTAGATGAAATCATATACTATTTCCCACGACTATTGCATAGGGTATCACATAAGGTTATTCTTTGGAGGCAAAGGTTTAGGAGTTCATGCCTTTTTGTGTCAAATCACATGCAACTTGTCAATTCTACTTTGGACAAACCTTACCAATCAAAAAGAACAATGAAAAGTTCAATTTAGGCACAGCGTTTGGGATTCATAAAAGTATATGACCACTTGTGGTCCGGCCCTTCCCGGACCCCGCGCATAGCGGGAGCTTAGTGCACCTGACTGCCCTTTTATATGACCACTCAAGAGATTCTTATCCTAATAGGATCACAACAAATATAAGACTTGGTTTCTGCCTTCTAGTGAATCCCCAAATAAGTGAAAAGCCTAGTAACGGAGATAAGAATTTTTTGAACTTCCAGAAGAAAAAAGAATCCTCATAATTTCTGCATAGAACTCCACAAAGTCAAACCTTAATTGGACCATTCTTGCTGTTACTTGAAATGTTCTGTCATTTTCTAGATCCGACCATGACTAGTTTGTGATGACGAGTAGTTGATTTATAGATTTGATTGAATTGCTGAATAAAGATCAACTATGTGTTCTATGTGAACCAATAGAGTTTATTGTTCTGCAGGCTAACCCACCAGACCCTAAGACATTTCCTTTCATATTGCTGGGAAACAAGATTGATATAGATGGCGGAAATAGCCGAGTGGTAAGACATTTACAATGCTTTGTTTTTCAATTATTATCCCTGAACTTTTATTGATATATTCTTTGCACGGTCAACAGGTTTCTGAGAAGAAAGCAAAGGAGTGGTGTTCTTCAAAAGGGATACCTTACTTTGAGACATCAGCAAAAGAGGATATAAATGTTGATGCCGCCTTCTTGTCTATTGCAAAAACTGCTTTGGCCAATGAGCACGAGCAGGATATGTGAGTTTATATTTTCCTTTTGCATGATTATAAAGAAAGCACAATATTGTTGTCCTTAGCTTCTATGCAATATAATGCACATGTAGCTAGAACTTTTCTCTTCTAGTTATTAAGTTGAGCCAATTAAGGAATGGGTGGCCAAAGATGTTAAATATCAAGATTCTTAGATATGAGCAATAAGAAGATCTCGGTGCAATTTGATGGAGCAGTCTTTTTAAAATAGGCAAAAGATGCCTCTTAAACTATGGATATGAAGGTATAGCTGTCAAGTATAATGATGACAATTACATGGAAAATCGCAAAAGCAAAGTTATGACAAAGACTAGAGTAAAGAGGTTCTTTCACAAGGTTAGGGTGGTCTTCAGAATCCATCTAAAGTACAGCTCACTTTGTGGTTTTGAGGTTCAGAAATCTAGGCTAAGATATTGAAAATTTAACTGATAAGATGACTGAGCCTGGAACATTAGCAAAGAAATTTTTTTCCGTTTTGATTCACATTTCTAGGTAATGCAATAGTGATGTATATTTTAGAAAAAGAAAACGTGCAACTGTTTGAAGCTCTAAGCTTAAGGGACATGAATGGTATTCGTCTCTGTCATGATTTTAGTGGAAGTTATTACTTGGGCCAAATACATAGACAGCCCATTAAACTTGACCCAATTTTTCATTTTGGCACTCTAACTCAATCTTGTTCCATTTTGGCCCTCCAACCCCATTTCTTATGTTTCACTTTAACACAAAAGCTGACTAGATTCAGAGTGTGAGTTGCCTCACCCTGTAGGCGCGTGAGGGAGATTTTTTTGGACAAATTTCCTTCTCCAACGGTAATAACATAAATGTTTGCCCCATATTTAATCCCCCATCTTCCTTCCCCATTATTTCATCTTCATTATTTCCTTCCCCATTTACTTTGCCCCATCTTCACTCTCAAAGTTTCAAATTGATGTAATTGGCGAGCCCTTTCAAGTTTCAAAAGTTCATATTAGTTGGTGATAAATCAATTTGGTCAATTGCAAAATTGCTTGTTTGTTGCTTTCAAGCAACTCGACAGTGGGTCAATTCCCAGAATTTCGGCCCTTAATGAACCATTCCAGTTTTGCTTGGGCCAATTGCTTTTATAATTTGCAGAAGAATGAACTTGGCCATGAACTTTTTAAGCCATTGATTGACAATAACAAAGCTTCCAAAAGCATCTAGGTAGCACACACACACATATATATATATATCATTATCAACAAAAAACAAGGAAAATAGCAGAAGTACAACTGAAAACTTCCACCTCTTCTTTCTTTCATATGGGAAGAACAAAGAACACATCAACTTCGGATAAATTCAAACAAAATTTAACTCACAAATAAAATTGGCCTTTACAAAGTTTAAAGCTTTCTTCTTCTTTATGGGTATCTGAAAATTGTGAGTAGGGCCTACGGTGGGGAGACAGTAGCAGTGTAGGGGGGGCGTTATAGAATAAGACGGAGTGGGGATTTGCAAACGCTATCTAAACTACTGTTTGAGGTGGGGGTGAGTTGTATGGAAGAAGAAAGTTAAAAGTTATTTGCTGAAAAACTTTATTTTTGGGATTAGCCAAAGTTAAAAGTCACATGGCGTTTTTTAGTCGTTTTTTTTGACATGTCAGGCATGAAGTTCACATGTGATAGTTTTTGTAGTGGTTAGTCANCACATATTCTTGATCATTTAAATACAAGTTCGAAGACAGTATACATTGACATGATCATTATTAAAAAAGGTTTGATTTATTTTCAATAATTTTCATATTTTAGGAGTTTACTTTTTTGGTTCCTTCCTGCCCTCCCTTGGCTTTGGTGAAGGAAAAAGCCATCTCTAATGACTACAGTCGCCCTAGCAAAATTAGAGGATTGTACAATGCTAAATGTACATTATTATTTTAAAACAATTTCCTTAAATATCCAAACGCATGTATGATATCTAGTGGAGTAATATTTAGGGAATATTCATGTATTCTAGTTTGAACTATAGATAACATGTTTTAATCTAAGAAAAGAATAAAATTCATTTTATCCCCTTAACCTTTAAGGGTTGGGAAACAATACCCCTCACATTTTAAATGATAAAGGAAACCCCCTTAAGTAATATTTTTTTGGTGAGAGTTTCTTTATTAAAATAAAGATTTTTTCTCTCTCTTTATCCTTTCAAACGTGAAGTATAATATTTTTCATCCAAACCAATACTTGAATTTTGTCTTTCTTGCTTGTAAAATTTAAAATATTTTTCTATTATAATGAGGTTATATTGAGGCCATTGTTAAAATTTTTGCTATAAAGAAAAAAATCTTGCATAAATTCAATTCAAGAAATATGATGAACGCACCTTCATCATGGATGCTTTAGCATTTCAATTTGAAGAGAAAAAATATACTGAAATAGTTGATTCTCTAACATATATATTAGATGAAAGAATTGCTGCTATGAGTATTAATTTATTTATGTATTTTTTTGTATATTAAAATTATTATACTAAAGCAATTATTAAACTTTACTTATTTAAAAATATCTTTATTGAACAAAAATTATAGTTGATAATGTCACATTTAAAAATTTATTATGGAGGCGCTTTTGCATTATATCATATCTTAAACTATGCAAGAAGAAGGCTAATAGAGAACTCCATAATTATATAGATTATAATTATTTGTCATATTTTTAGCTTTTGGCTAATGGCTATAATGAAAGAACTTGATTATTCTAAAAATTATCTATTCAAAAAAGAAAAATTTTTTATTAAAAAAATTATTTCACCCAAAAATTTTTGCACAAAGGGGTTCCCTTTCCCATTCAAAACGCAAGGAGATATTGTTTCCAACCCTTAAAGGTTAGGGATACAATAAATTTTACTCTACGTAAAAGAAACTCTATTTTCTTGAGGGCAATATATGCCAAGAAATAGATAGGTCAAAGTTCATGAAATGATTAGAAGATAAACATTTTGGCAATACACACACAATTATAGAAGAAGATATTTATTGGTTTGTATTAAAAAACAATATTTAGTTTCTATTTTTATATTTTTGTTTTGTTTTTGGATGCCATTATCAGAACTGAAGGCTATGTTCTCCATTTGAATCATCAAACCAAAACACAGAGCAAAATGGGAGGAACAGGAAGAGCACTGCTAAACCTCTCTCTCACTTCCTCCTCCGCTTCTTCCCTCCGTTTCTCTTTCTCTCTCCTCCCTTCCCGTTTTCCTTTCGCCACAAAACCACTTCTTCCCCAAACCCCTAGGGTTTTACTAGGGTTTAGACCTCTTTGTTCCACCACCACCACCACAACTACTACGACTGCTGAAGAATCACTAATTCAACCCATTAAGCATTCAATTCTATTAGAAAGGCTTAGACTTAGACATCTTAAAGAATCTGCAAAGCCCAATTTAGAACCCAAACAATTAACACAAAAATTTAAAGCTGAGGTGGATGATGATGGAGTTAAGAAGAGTAAGAAAAAGGCGGTGGCGTCGAGTTTTGAGGAGTTGGGTTTGAGTGAAGAGGTAATGGGGGCGTTAGGTGAACTGGGTATTGAAGTGCCGACTGAGATTCAGTCAATTGGGATACCTGCTGTGATTGAGGGGAAAAGTGTGGTTTTGGGTTCGCATACGGGTTCTGGCAAGACTCTTGCTTATATGTTGCCTATTGTTCAGGTGAAACATTCATATATCTAAGATATTTAATCTTCAATTTATTACAATTTGTGGTTTTGGATATGTTACTTTAGACTAAATTTAGAACTGTATTATTACCCTCGATTATGGAGTGATAGTCCAAATTTAACGTAAAACATGGGTAGTCCAATGATGCAATGTTATATGATTCGTTAAATTTTTGAAGATACACAAGCAGAGGAATCAAAAGTGCACATTCCAATTTATTGAAGGTTACATTTGCTTAATCAGACATCACAAAGACTAAAATTAGAATTTGCCGATAATTGAGGGACTAAAAGTGCAAATTTCCCTTGGTCGTTTGATTATCGATAATAGCTTGTACTTGTTGTTGTTATTAGTTACTATTTAGTAATACTTGCTGTAGTTTTTTGTCCTGTTTTTCTTTTTAGGGTAGTGTGTAGGAGATGGTTTGGCTTACTCTTGCTACATTTCATTTAGGAGAGAAAAATGGTTCATCGAAGATGATGCATTATGCAGCCTGAAATCCCAACAATTTGAATGAAAATGAATTATATCATTCTATCAACTACACTTCAATCCAAAACTAGTTGGGTCGACCGTAGGATAAATACTCTGTGTCATTCCAAATAGCTTGTACTTGTTGTTATTAGTTATTGAGTGATATTTGCTGTAGTTTTTTGTCCCGTTTTTCTTCTTAGGTTAGTGTGTAGGAGATGGTTTGGATTACTCTTGCTTCATTTCATTTAGGAGAAAAAAATGCTTCATCGATGATGATGCGCTATGCAACCTGAAATTCCAACAATTTGAACGAAAAATGAATTATATCAATCTATCAACTACACTTCAATCCAAAACTAGTTGGGATCGACTATAGGATAAATACTCTGTGTCATTCCATTACTAAGTGAATGGTCTTTTAGGGAAAATTTGGGGTAATCTAGAACATGATGCACTTATTCTATACTGAAAAATCTTACCAAAAAAAAAAAAGAAAAAAAAAAAAGACGAACTCCTAGAAACACCAGTCCTAGTGTAAGTGAAGAAACATCAACTAAGCCTAAATGCCACATATGCAGTTCTTTTGCTTCCATTCTATTCTGGAAATGTATTGTATGTAGGAATAAATATTCACACGCAAGAATGAATCAACATTCTGCATTTACCATACTCTGTTTGTTTTTTTTGGGTGGGGTGGGGATGGGGTGAGGGTGTTATAAGATCATCTGAACTTTGCCTTTGCAATATCTTTTCTGGGTTTTCATTCGTGTGTAGCAAGAGGGTATACATATAAAAGAAGAAACATGTGTGGAACAAGAATTAGAGAGAGAGGTTAACCTTTCCTTATCAAAACAAGGTTAACTTGGGAACTTGCTTTGACCAAGTCTAGTAATTTTAAGGAGATTTTTGCATATGGCGTTATTCGATGACGCAGACACATACTTTATCATTGGTAGCATACTCCCCGTCCAACTTCGCTTGGCTTTGCATAAAAATGAGTTATTCAGTCTGACAATTTCTTTGTAGTTATCAAACATCATGCCAGTGGGAATGTCTTCTGCAAAACAGAGCTTCCTTGTGTTGAAAAGTGTATTTGCATTTAGCTTTGTAGGTTTTAAAGAATTTAACGGGTTTAAGTTGCACAAACTTCACTGACTGATGTATCAGTGAACCAATATATAAACACTCATGTCTTCAGGTAACATGGTATTAGAGCTGACTAGTGGGTTAACTCTTATTCAAAGTTCTTTATTCCTTTTAGCCTGATTTGAGGTATGGTGTTTAATATTTTAGTTGTTGAGACAAGAAGAGGAATTGCATGGTATGCACATGAAGCCTAGGCGCCCCCGAGCTGTTGTGCTATGCCCTACTAGGGAGCTCTGTGAGCAGGTTTATTTACCATTTCGGAAACTAACAATTTTATTAAAAGTGAGAGAACTCTTCCGGCCAACAGAATCCAATTGCCATTGCAGGTTTTTCGTGTGGCAAAGTCTATCAGTCATCATGCACGGTTCAGATCTACCATGGTTAGTGGTGGCGGCCGTTTGAGACCTCAAGAAGATTCTTTGGGTGGCCCAATTGACATGATTGTGGGGACTCCAGGCAGGGTTCTACAACATATTGAAGAGGGAAACGTGGTTTATGGTGACATCAGATACTTGGTAATTGTTATTGCTTTCTGGAATAGGTACTTTGTTTTCCAAATATCTTACTGTGACAATTTCTGGATAGGTCTTGGATGAGGCTGATACCATGTTTGATCGCGGTTTTGGTCCTGATATACGAAAATTTCTTGCACCGCTGAAAAACCGTGCTTCGAAGCCTGGTGATGAAGGATTTCAAACCGTGTTGGTGACAGCAACAATGACAAAGGTATGCCAAATGGATTATGAAAAGGCTAAATAGATAATTTATTTAAAAAGTGATGGTTATTTTGGCAGAAATGTTCCTTATGCTTTTGTTTTAAAAAAACAAAGCTTTATAGTTTAGGTTGAAGTTGATTGGCGGCAAAATTGCAATAAAGCTTTTGTCAAAAGGTTAATGTCATCTAACCTTTTGATTGACGTAAGTGGAACTAGATGTCTCCAGACCCTTTTTAGATTTGTCAAAAGGGTAATGTCATGTACCTTCTGAGTGTGTATTTACTGAACTATGTAGAAATTTTCAAGGAGTTAAAAATCACAAAGTAAAGGAAAGATGGGCCAGAACAGTGGATAGAGCTTTGTCCCATAAATTTCAATAATGGATGCAACACTTAATATTGATGTATAATTATCCTTCTTTCACTGGGTTTGGGAAGGATATTTATGTATGCACTGAAAGAATAAAGCTAGAATGCAAAGTTTTATTTGGATCATTATGTCATGTGCAAGACAACGAGAATTTCATTTAGTACAGCTGAAAGTTGTGTTATCATTGTATTAAGTTACTCTATTAACTACTAAGGGTATTAAGGTAAGTGGCCTGTCATCAAAGTTATTCTTTAACCCAGTGTTTTTAAGAGCGAGAAGCGCAAAAAAGCGACAAGGGCTCGCCTCGCTTCAAAAGCGAAGCGCACGCTTTATTAAAGCGAAGCGCAATTCTTAAAAAACATAATGTAAACCTTGCAAAGACACAATATAAAATTATAAATAATCAAAAAGTTCAATTTAAAAACTTAAAAGTAGGTACTAGGTACCACCAAATCCTCCACAAACCATAGGACAAGCAAAATCAAAGCTACTAGATTACTAGAATCAACATCTTATTCTTCTACTCTTCTTGTTCTTCTTCAAGATTGTCAAAATCTTGAATTCCTCTATTATCTTCATATTGCTTGTCATCTTCTTCTTCCCCCTCCTCTTCCTCTTCATGATCACTTTCATCTTCATCAATTAGGGATAAGGATCGACTTGTAGTAGCCACACTTTTTCCCTTCCTAATCGAGATTGAACTTGAAGTATTCCCCCTTAAACCATAAGGATTCTCCCCAACTCCACTAGCAACCGCAACATCACCCCAAGTGAAATTAGAATCGCCTTCAAATACTTCTTCATCTTCACAATTTTCGGGGACTCCGGTTAGCCACTCATTAGCCTCATCAATATTGTCCAAAAGAATTGGATCAATTAGATTGCGGTGGTTGTAGCGACGCCTCAATGCTCTATTGTATTTTATGAACACTAGATTATGGAGGCGCTTCAAGGTTAGTCGATTCCTCTTCTTTGTATGAATCTGCAAACAAGATGTGTCAACTAATTAGTAGGAGTTGGGACAATTGAGATATAATTTACTTTATCTCAAAACACGAAATAATTCTTTTTATTTCTCATGTGTTCAAAAACGCTCCAGTTCCTTTCACATCCGGATGAGCTACAAGTTAAACTTAGAACTCTGATGGCGAAAGTCAGTAAATCCGGATTCTTTACACCATATTGATCCCACCACTCAACTTGATAACAATCTCATGGAATCCTGTCCACACTTCTCTAGCCAATGAATTATTCTCATGCTGATCATAAAAAAGTGACGGGTTCAGAATAAGTCCAGCTGCATGCAAAGGTCTATGAAGTTGCTCACTCCATCTTGCATCAATGATCTGAAATACCTTTGCATATTTCTGCTCATCAGTGAATGATGCTTGAATAGCCTCCTTGGCCCTATCCATAGCTTCATAGAGGTAGCCCATTGGTGATTTTTGCTCCCCATCCACCAAACGTAGTACTTTAACCAAAGGACCACCAATTTTAAGAGCATGAAGGACATTATTCCAAAAAAAATAAGAAAGAATAATGCGTGCAACATCTTTCCCCGCACTTTCCTTTGCAAATTTACTCTTGCTCTATTCCTCTAAAGTGAACAACTTTCTCAAATTGGCTTTTTGCAAGTGGATGCAAGTGGATACTATGCAAAGTCAAGAAAGTAGTGGCGAACCTTGTCTTGCCCGGTTTCACCAAATATTTTTGTCTGGTGAATCTTCTCATCATATTCAATAACAAGGGCTGCTGAGAAATATAAGAATGTACCCTAACGCCCTGGCCAAAAACTGTAGAGAAGGTTTTTTCCTTGAAAATGTCCCCGAATATTAAGTTGATACAATGAGCAGCACATGGAGTCTAATAGACATTCTTGTACGCTCCTTCCACCATGCCACCCGCTTTCACATTTTCACTCGCATTATCAGTGACCACTTGAACAACTTTGCTTGGTCCAATCTTTTCAATGGTGTGCTGAAACAAGGTGAACATTTTGATGTGGTCAGTGGATGAGTCGCTAGCATCAATGGACTCAAGAAACAAACTTCCCTTGGGAGAATTCGCCAACACATTAATAATCATTTTCCCAGTTCTTGCCGTCCACTTATCCATCATAATGGAGCAGCCATACTTGTTCCACACAACTTTATGTTCCTCCACAATTTTATTAGTCTCCTCCACTTTCTTATTTAGATAAGGACCTCTGATTTCATGATAAGTGGGAGGCTTCATTCCAGGTCCGTATTGACCAACGGCCTCAATCAAGTCTCCAAAAGTGTCAGTATAGTTGACACAATTGAAGGGGAGCCCAGCATCATAGACCCATCGTGCAAAAACTCTAACTGCACGATCCCTCAAAATGTCCTTAGCAATTTTTTGTACATCTTTTCCACTGCTCTTTGCTTCCGGCTTCTTTGGGAAATAGCAATCTATAGGACCTTTAGTCCTACTCGTACCCGTCGATCCATGGCTTGAAGAGATTGCATCTCTTCCCCGTTTTGTTGGAAGTGACAATTCTTCAATATCATCATCATCATCAAGATTGGTCACCAATGGTTGATGACTCATTTGATTTTTTTGCTCCTTCTTTTCAACAAAATTCTTTATTTTATCCCTCATTTCCGGTGGGCATTTCGGACAACTGGACGGGTCAGAGATAAAGGAAGAAGAAGAAGACGCTGAACAGTGTGCAGACGCTGGACTGGTTAGAGATAAACGAAGAAGAAGGAAGAAAGAAGGAAAAAGAAAGAAAAAAAGAGCAGAATCTGGACGGGAACAAGAAGAAGAAAGAAAGAAGAAAGAAAAAAATGAGAAGAAAGGAGAAGAAGAAAATTACGTGGACTGGTCAGCAATGTCGATGAAGTTGAAACCCTAGGCTTTGGTCGATCGAAGAAGAGAGAAGAAGAAATGGTCAATTTTGGTCTTAGGGGTCTGTTTTGTATAATAAAAAAACAGACCCAAACTTTTAAAAAAAAAAAAGGGCCCTCTGAACAGAAGCGAGCGCTTCGTCGCTTCTTCAACTGAAGCGCACGCTTCACATGGTCGAGTCGCCTCAGGGAAAAGCGATGGCTGATCGCTTCGCGCTTAAAGCGACGAAGCGATCGCTTTTTCAAACACTGCTTTAACCTGCCGTCTAGGAGGTATGCACTGATTAGGCAGTTGTACGTAATAGTGTCATTGCGGTACGGCTTATTTCTAGTGATGTAGAATTATTTGCATGTGATTCATCTCAATCTTACCCATTTTCAATTGATTCAGTTTGCAAGTTTTCTACTTCGAGGTGGTTTCAGCTGATATTTGTATGCTTTGCAGGCAGTTCAAAAGCTGGTTGACGAGGAGTTTCAAGGGATTCAGCATTTACGTACTTCTACATTACATAAGAAGATTGCTTCTGCTCGTCATGATTTCATCAAACTTTCAGGTTCTGAGAACAAGCTGGAGGCGTTGCTACAGGTGTGGCACTATTTATGTACCCTTTCCCGTCATTCCAGGCATGTGTATGAGTGTGTACGTACAGCGTGATATGATAGCTGTATCTAATGGGAAGCAACAGAAAAAATAAATAAATCTAAATGAAACCTGAGTGTAGATTTTTTAGTCCGTTCGGGTAATTTTCCAGACATTGATTTTGTCCACGTTTCTCAAAACAAGACTTTTGCATCTTGGGATCGAGGAATCTAAGTGAAGAATAACTAGTGGACAAACTGTTTCATGCATCTAATGAAGAAATTCTGCTGTTATCGTTAGAGTTCTATGGGGTTTTACTGTCACTAATTGAAAATTTTGGTCAATTTGCTGGAGAAAGAAGAAATGTTTAAGATTTCAAGGAGAACTAACATCACTCCTCTTGTTGTTGTCTCTTGGCTTTAGTGACATAGGTATAGCGCTCAACATTCGTAGTTTCATGTTACAATTTGAGTTGATATTTGAAAGATGTGAATTCTTGCCATGGGTGGCAATGTACAAGTTGTTCACAAAACGACAAAAAGCCCTGCGCATAATTGTGCTCATTGTAGCTCACAATATATAAAGCAGCAAAGCTTTCTGATTTTTTTTTTTTTTTGATAACCGTGGTGTCCGGGCCAGCTTGCGCGCACCTCGACTAATTCCACGGGATACCTGTCACCTCCCACTAGCAACAGGTATCAGGTAACTCTATCCACCAAGGCTTGGATAGATAGATAGGAAGAAATCACCTAGTATTTGCCTCCGCTGGGATTTGAACCTGAGACCTCATGGTTCTCACCCACTTCATTGACCACTAGGCCACACCCTTGGGTGCAAAAGCTTTCTGATTTACATTATGCAATTTTCCAGGTTCTTGAGCCAAGTTTAGCAAAGGGCAATAGAGTGATGGTATTCTGTAACACGTTGAATTCCAGTCGTGCTGTGGATCACTTTCTCAGTGAAAACCAATTTTCTACTGTTAACTACCATGGGGAAGTTCCAGCAGAACAAAGGTAAGAAGAGAGAAGTTGAATAATATTCCTGCAACAGGCAACACATTGCCTAGTCTACTACCCTGACTCTTGTCTTAATCGTTTTGCTTTTACTTGTGAGTCTTTGGCCTCCTCCATACTTCAGCCCCTTTACGTACCCTTCACTTATAGTTTCTGACTTTATCATTGATTGGTTATCAGCCATCGTCCTGGGGAACATAAGAACAAGACATCTTGTTTGTCATTATTTATTTTGACATTATTCTGGTCTTGTCCTCCACTATGATTATTTTCTCTTTTGCTGCTGTTTGTGCCTTTATCCTCCAGTTAAAAGATGGAAATAACAGCAATAGCCTCAGCTTGCAACTCAACTTCATAAATACTGAACTATTCTCCTGTTCAAAAAAGATGCTGAACTTTTTCTTAGGTGAAAGATTCTAAGATGTTAGAAAGTCAAGATTGATGAAATGTCCATGACTTTATAATGGAGTTATGGTCCCTGTAATGTAAGAAGTGCTCCATCAAGTTTTAGATGCTCCACTTTTTCCCTCCATTGGTAACAGCATTTCTTCTGCAGGGTTGAAAACCTTGCAAAGTTTAAGAGCGATGAAGGAGATTGTCCCACTTTGGTCTGCACAGACTTGGCTGCTAGAGGACTGGATTTAGATGTGGATCATGTCGTCATGTTTGATTTCCCTTTGAATTCTGTAAGCACCTGCTTGGGTTTTGCCTAACATGTTATCTTCTTAGTCATTACAAGCTAAAACAGTTTTTGTATGTTTAAATCCTTATCCTTTTCTTTTGCCTGTTCTAGATTGATTATCTCCATCGCACTGGAAGAACTGCTCGTATGGGTGCCAAAGGTTGGTTTGCATGAATCTTAATACAATTAGTTTTCCTAGTTGAGTTTAGTCCTTCACTTGACCGCTTTTTGTTGGTACTGTGAATGCAGAGCATGTTTGCTCGTTACATAAACTAGATGTGCATTCTTAATAATCGTAGCTGTTTTTCCTTTCCCTGAGAATAAATTTTTTGATAAGGTAACTATTCATCGAACATAATGGGGGGAAGATCCCTGGTATATAAGTGGTATAAAAGAAGTGGATAACCTACCCCAAACATGCTCTCCACAAAATGCACCCTAACATCTTTGCTAACAGGAATCTCGTGAGTGCTCCAAAAGTTCAACAAATGCCAAAAGTTAGTCCTAATCTGTCCAATAGTATTCTCTTTCCAGAGGGAATTATCACAGTGCCTCATGGTGATTTTGATAATGTTGCTTTGCTTGCTTGGTTTTTGAATGATACATGTACTTCATACTCATATATGCACATTTGAAATTCTTATTGCTCATCATTTAGGTTATAATTTGTTTTGGTTGACAGCTCTCAAGCCTGCAAAGTTTCCAATATACCTTTTTTGCATGTGTAGGGAAAGTTACAAGTTTGGTTGCCAAAAAGGACTTGCTTTTGGCCGCTCGCATCGAGGAAGCCATGATGAAGAATGAGAGCTTGGAGGCTCTCTCAGTAGACGGTGTCAAAAGGGATATTGCCAGGTCTCGCATAACTGAACAGAAGGACAAGCGTGAAAAGTTGGTCAAAGCTTCAAATTCAAGAGGCAAGGCTAAAGCTTCCACAGGTAAATCCTCGAGTGTTGGTAGAAAGACCGATTCAAAAACATCTCCTGGAGCAAAGTCTGGCAAAGTACCAGCTAAGTCAAAACCGAAGATAGCAATCAAGGTATCCAAGAGGGTTAGCACTTCCACTGGTAAGAGACGAGTAGACAGCCGAAGCTCTAGCGTCTCCACGTCGAAACTAAATGTTGTTGGATTCAGGGGCAGGAGTTCATCATCGAGTAAAAACGCAAATGTTAGGGCTGGTTAACATGCCTAGGTTTCAATCATGTATACTGAATTTTGTTTTCTTTTCTCTCTCCTTGTAAAATTTATGGTTAGTCATTTTGATATTTTCAGTCATCAAATTGTGCAATGTCAATAGCCATTCTCCATGACTTGTCATTGTTGTTCCCTTTTTGTCACTATATTGCAATTGTCAGACTGTTCTCAGAGACGGAGAAAATCTCTTCTTGAATATGGAGATTTTCAACCAACGATTCCATAACTTTTGCTTGAACGTTCTGCCAAAAGGATAGTGAGTTAAGGTGACCCTTACCACTTTCTGCAAAAGTTGTTGTAACCTAAGAATTCCTGAAGAGAAAAAGCTCGATTATGCATTCACTTTTCTTGCAATTCTCTCCTGCTAATTGCCTACCCCTCAAAACCTAAAAAACAGGTTGGACTGGGAAAACTTCAGAAAAGATTCACTCTGAGAGACGTTTAGTAGTCCCTGACTTGGTCTTAGAAGCGAAAGTCTAAGCCGCTGGTTGGACTATTGACCTCTATAGGAACCCCTTTTCAATCAAGAAAGATGATGAAATTTTTTCTCAACTGTAAGTGTATCTCTCATCCTCCACACTCTTTCTTACCACCATTAAAATTGTATTATTTTACTATTGATTGAAAAGGACATTAATTGAAAACCTTATGTAACTTAGAATTGCACACCTCTGCTGACAAGCTAATTGATTAGTCCAATTCCATGAGCATGGTGTAGTTGTTGCTTGCTGAATTTCCATCAATTTGCCAATGGCAGACTAAAATGTGATAAACTGTAATCAATATAAGCAAATTATGCAGCATAAAAAAAAAAGTAGTGAAGAAATAAAGAGGCAACTAAGCTAACACTAAATGTTTTCTGAAACTGTACAAGAATCCCTACACTAATCTATGCCTGGAAACTTGAATGCTACTCTTTTCCTACAATGACTACCCTTTCTTCTACCTTGGCATCAGAGAAAATAAATGCCTACACCTCTAAAACAAAAGAGACAGAAAAGATAAGCAAAAAGAATCAACTTTGAGTTGACTGATTTATTAAAGGCTGAGAAGTTTTTCCAAATTCTTCAGGTGGGGTCTTCACTTCCATTAGAAGTGCCACCACTTCTTTCATGGTTGGCCTTTCACTTGGTGATGAATTCACACAGAACATAGCTATTCCAAGTGTTTGTAGCATTTCTTGTACCATTTGATCCGGTAAACCCTGTAGCTTGGAATCCAAAATCGTAACAGCTGGTTCAAAGCTTCCCATCTTCTTCTTTACCCACTCAACAATGTGTAGTCCATCACCAATCTGAGGCTCAATCGCGCTACGTCCACTCAATATTTCCAGCAACACCACTCCATAGCTGTAGACATCGCTTTTTTCTGTTATATTCACTGTATATCCATATTCTGCAACCATAGTTGTTAAAAATTGTGTCAAAATCTATGAATCACAACTTGTTTAGTTTATACTTCCGCATTTGACTATAAATTACGACATTGTGTCTTGACCTATAACTGAAAATTGTTGAAGATAAGTGCACCATCTCTATCAACTTAAGCTTTTAAGAGTGAAATGGTCACACAGTTCAACACAAACATAAAAAAACATCACACAGTATTTATTAAAGAAAAGAAAAAAGATTGACCTATAAAAGCAGCCAACATTTAAAATGAGAAATAGAAAGTTGAAAGATACATGCCTGGAGCTATATACCCATAGGATCCTGCTACTCTGGACATCGCTTGATGATAATTTGGAGAATTCATAAGCTTTGCAAGTCCAAAATCTGCTAAATAAGCCTCAAATTTGGAGTCAAGGAGTATGTTGTTGCACTTGACATCTCTATGAAGAATTGCTGGCACACAGTAATGGTGAAGATAAGCAAGTCCTTGAGCTGATCCAACTGCAATCTTGTACCTGATTTCCCAATCCAAGTTCCTGTTACTTTGCAAGAGCTGTTGAAGATTACCATTTGAAATGTAGTTGTAAAGGAGAAGCTTAACACTCTTGTTTGAACAATATCCAAGGAGCTTCACTATGTTGCGATGCCTTATGTGACCGAGAATTTGAATTTCAGCCGCGAAAGAATCTATCGGTTCCTCATCATTTTTTGTTTTCCAGAGTTTCTTCACTGCAATCAACTCGCCATTTGGCATTTCTGCTCTATAAACAACTCCCGAACAACCTTTCCCAATTATGTTTTCGTCTTTCAAGCAATCCAAGATGTTGTCAATGTTGAAATTGGCCTTTTGAAAGGGGATGAAAGTCCACGGATAGGAAAAATCTTCTGCCCCTACTGCAGAGGCTGACATGCCTGAGGATTTCTCAAATTCATATCTCCACTTCCTTGTCACAAAAAACCACGTTGCCACGACAGCTATGGTAACAGATATCGCAATCACTGCAACCAAAGCTATGGTTTTTACAGACTTCAATCCGGTCCTTCCAGTTATATGAGCAGAACAAGCAGAGCCATCAATTGATTCACAAAGGTGTAAATTATCAAGAAAAGAGTTTGATGTGAGTGTTCTAAAGAATGGCGTTACAGGAATAGGCCCTGAGAAATTATTGTAAGATACATTTAAAGTAGTGAGACTGGTCAGAGAGCTTAGAATCGCGATGTTTCCATTCAGCATATTGTGAGAAATATCAAGAGATTGCAACCGTGTCAATCCGGATAACGTTTCAGGGAGTTTGCCTGCGAAACGGTTTGAGCTCAAATCCAAACTGATTGTTAAGCTTGTCATATAACCAATCTCAGGTGAAATTGCACCAGATAAACTATTGGAGCTCAAATCAAGTAGAGTTAACTTCTGCAAGTTGCTAAATGACTTTGGAATTGGACCGGTAAGCAGATTATTGCTGAGAATAAGTTTGTTCAAGTAACTGAGATTACCAAAACTCCCTGGAATTGCACCAGTGAAGCTGTTCTCACTGAGATCAAGCTGCTCTAAATTCACTAGCTCTCCCAACGGTGATGGTATTTCCCCGGTTAGGTAATTGTTATGCACATCCAACAGTTCAAGAACCGTAATGTTGGAAACTTCAGAAGGTAATTCACCAGAGAAATGGTTCATGTATAAATCAAGAAACACAAGATTCTGCAGCTGTCCTATCTCCTTCGGTATTGGTCCAGAAAATTGGTTTTCACCGAGCCTCAACCTCACCAGAGACTGGCATTGTGCCACACTTCGAGGCAAACTTCCCGTTAACGAATTTCCAAGAAGCAACAACCTACTCAGCTTCTTCAAACTGAATATCTCTTCAGGTATTGAACCAGTGAGATTGTTCCTTGACAGGTCAAGTGAATACAGGTCAGTACAGTTCCCAAAAGCAGCAGGAATGGTTCCTGAAACCGAATTCCCCCACAATAAGAAACTCTGCAAGTACTTCAAGTTCCCAACTTGCCAAGGAATAGTCCTTGATAATTGGTTCTTATCAAGCTGAAGAGCTGTTAAGCTACTACAATTACTCAACTGCATTGGAATAGCACCAGTAAGTGCATTATCCGATAAATGAAGCTGTTCAAGAACCTCTAGCTTTCCCAAATCACCCGGAATTTCACCAGATAAATCATTTGCAGAAACATCAAGTACTACAAGAGATGAACAGTTTGAAAGCTCAGCCGGAACAGGGCCAGTAAGCGAATTTCCCCATAAAAGTAAGCTAGTAAGCTTTTGTAACTTGCCCAACTGAGGAGGTATTGGACCAGTGAGCTTATTCATGTGCAAATACAAGTTCCTAAGCTCTGAACACATCCCAAGTTCAGGTGGTATTGAACCAAAGACTTCAGTATCATATATTGCCAGAGTTTGGAGATTAATCAAATTACCAAATGTGCGTGGAATAACCCCAGAAAGCCCGGTGGCCGCGACACCAAACGTCGTGAGATTGGTGAGTCGGCCTAATTGTGCTGGTATATCGCCACTTAACTGTGGATTTCCTCCAATCCTGAATTGCTGAAGTGACACCAAGGAGCCTAATTGAGAAGGAATCGACCCGTTAAGGAGATTATCTTGGAGGCAGAGGATTTCTAGAAAAGAAAGATTGGCAAGTTGTTGTGGGATTTTACTAGTTAATCTATTTGAATTCAAGAACAGGAATTGAAGTGAAGTAAGCCCACCAAGTTCAGAGGGAATAGGCCCTGTAAAAGAGTTGGAAGAAAGGTCCAGAAGCCTAAGATGAGTAAATGAACCAAAGGATGGAGGGATTGTGCCTGAGATATTTGTAGAAGAGAGATTGAGAAGCTGAAGGGATGAAAGGGAAGAGAGTTCAAAGGGTAAATAAGATAGATTAAGAAATGTATTTGGAAGAGAAACTGAAATAACTCTTTGTTGAGGAGAACAAGAAATGCCTTGCCAAGAACATGGAGTTGAACTTGAAGTATTCCAAGAAGAAAGTACAGAGGATGATGATTTAGCATAAGGGTCAGCTGCTTTGAGAAGAGAGAGCAAAACTTGTCCATCAGAATTCAGAGGAGAGAGAGTTCACTAATACAGCTTTTCTTGGACTCAAACTTATACAGAAGAAGAAAAGAATGAAAAAATATGAAAAAGTTGCTGAAGAGGTAACAAAATGCTGGTTTGTCATCTTCTTCATTTTTTGAGCCTTTGAAATGGATTAACAGTGGAAGTCAAGAAATGGCAACACAAATGGTGGAAGTGAAAGTCTACACTAGGAGACAACATGCATGTGAAAAAGGCTTTAGTTTAGTGATGGAAATGCTTCAAACTCACACCATCTCTTGTTGAAAACATCATGCATGTGAAGTAAAACTTATTGTTTACCTTTATAGAACACTAAAATGCTATTCTTGATATTGAAAAGAAAGTTCTTATGTAAACTTTCTTACCGGAAATAATGAACTCTTCCTCCACATACGGTGGTATTACAAGTGGTTGTGGCGAGGATGGTGGCACAAAACCAACTTATTACATTGTCTTCACTTCGCTCGAGTCTGTTATTTTGCATTTTACGAAAAATAAAGCATGGAGTAGAGCTTTGAGCTCTATTATCTTTCCTTATTAAATGAAGCTTTTTTGTGAGAAACTAAGAGCAAATGCAGCTGCATTATATTTAAATGTCAAAATTTTCTTTTTAATTAAAGTTTATTTAACAAAGTAATCAGGGCGCC